GCTGGTGTGCCGTTCATCGCACCAGGAGTAGAGTTTTGACCGATGTCGTGTTCATGGGCCGGAAAATGCGACGGCGGAGATGGAATCAGCCGGTATTCTTTCGGGAGTTGGGGTGCTTGTCGACGGTTCCTCTCCCTGGGCGACGTGAGACTGGCAAACAAAACATTTACTGACATCTACGCGACAGGCGCGACAAGGATGATGCGGACTGCGCTGTCCTGGCCAGCCAATCAAAACTGCGCAACCCCGAGCTATCGGTCACGTGCCCTTTGCCTAGCATCGCCATCGCCTACCTGCTCTTGCTGCGCTACTCCACATTCACCATGTAGCGGTACGTTCATCGCTTCTTGTTGTCGTAATACGTCGCAAGCTGTCGAGCAGGGTTTTGTGTAAGCCGCGGATCCCGTCGCCATGCTCGTCTACTTTCCTTCTTTCCACCCTCCCAATCTCCACGCGTACACGTGAGCCTCTTCTACTTTGACCCAAAATACGGCACATTTTGTCTCACTCACAAGCTTTTTCATTCGAATCGCTCGCCATGGCGCAGTTGTATTGCCATCAGCCGACAAATGGCTATGATGTCTTGGCAACAACCCAAGACCATACTCAGGAGCAAGCGATGCCTGGCAAAGACTCAGCAAACGCAGTGGACGTTACTGATTCTAAAATCATGCAAGAGGGGAGTGACGCATCAACACCTCAAATTTCCGCAGACTCTGGAACTCTGGTGAAGCCTTCCAAAGCAGTTTCACCCAATGCCAGGAAGCGAAGTCCGCCTGAGCCGTCAAATTCCGAGCCCGACAGCAAGAGATCCAAAGCCTCGCCATCACCCTCAGCACCCAAGGATGGCCTTGCAATTAAGCCGATCTTTCCAAGCCCTCCGGATATGCCCGCTACTACCTTTGACAAAGAGACCTGGCAAGGCTTCTGTGAAATCGAAAGCGAGCCCGCGTGTTTCTCCGTCATTCTCCGCGAAATGGGCGTCGAAGGCGTGACCGTTCGCGAAGTCTTCAGCATGGACCAGCAATTCATCCGCGAAAATATCCCCCAGCCAATCTATGGTTTCATTTTGCTATTCCACTACCGCCAGTTTGGTAACGAGGATCGACAAAACGAGTGTTCTGATGGAGTGTGGTTTGCCAACCAATTACCAGCCCAGGACAGTTGTGCAACGCTGGCCATGATAAATATTCTCATGAACCAAACTACAGACGTTTCTATTGGGGAGCACCTACAGCAATTCAGGGACTTCACCAAAGATTTTACGCCGTATCAGCGCGGCGAAGCATTTGCAAGTTTCGACTTCGTCAAGAGAATTCATAATTCTTTTGCCAAGAAGATGGATATCCTAGAAGGTGACAAGCATCTCAGCCACAAAGTCAAGCGTGTCAGGCGTCTCAAAACACAACTGGCTGAAAAGAGTAAGCCAAGAAAGAGAGGGACAAAGTCACGGCAAGCTTCTGCCGACTCGGTAGCTACAGACGATAGTGAGGAGAGGGTCGAGGATAATGCACACCACTACATTGCTTTCGTTCCTGTTGGTAATGAAGTGTGGAAGCTAGATGGCTTCGACAAGTATCCGACGTGTGTGGGTTCTTTCAAGCCAGAACAAGGAGAGACGTGGTTAGAGTCGGTTTCTGACACAATTGCCACCCTCATGGCAGCAGGTGACGACGACTACGGTGTTATAGCACTGACGCAGTCCCCTCTAATTCCCTTACGCAACTGTGCCAGTCTTACGATCAACACTCTGGCACATGTCGAAGCGCGTCTCGACCACCTCTCCCAATCTACATCTCAAGACTGGAGACACCTCGTCAGTGCAGACGGGCAACCACCCAACCCTTGCATGCTTGGTCTTGAGTCGTATCTCGCTGCCAATCCTGTGCCTGAGGCAATTAAGGAAGCCATTGACAATGAAGACACACAGCAAGTTCTTGCGAGACGTCAGCAGCTGGTTATCCAAGCCAACGATGACGGTACACAAATTATGATGGAGATGCAGAATGAGGCAGAAGAAGATACAAAGGCTACACAACGGCGCTATGACTCTGGTCCAGTCATAAAGAAATGGCTGGAGATGTTAGCTGAAAACGGCTACCTGGAAGAGAATCTTGAGCGTTTTATGCCTTGTAAGGGGAAGAAGAAGTGATGTATCAAACATAGGCCTATAGAGCTGCGCGATGGCGATTATCTCAAGGACAGTTTAGTCTAGGTAGATACCCAGAGTAAGATGTACTCGTGGGTTATTACTAAGTAACTACACACATATAATCAGTAATTCTAGGTCCACAGAACAAATATCACAAAGTCCATGATTACCTTGTTGGTTCCATAAATCATCACACTCTCGGAGGTTTTACTGCTCTGATTTTCCTGTAAGAAATCATTCGATACAGGGTGAGAGAAAGGCAATGGGACAAGGAAAGGCTCATGGCTGCGCATTGCTAGCGCGTCAGACTAGTCCTCTCATCCACCCGCTCTTCCTGTAATACATTTAAATGAGACACACGGAAATTCGTCTGATCTGCATTGAGTGACTACTAGGCAGACCGAGTGGGTAAGTTGCTACTTTTAGAATGCAAAAAGTGTGGTACGAACGTGCATGAGCGACAGCATATACCTGCATGGGTAGCAGAAAGTGCATTGCATATCCATGGACTATGTTGGTAATCTTCCAACTGCGGGTCCAAGGATCACGACGCAGTTCTAATGTAAGCTCATACTATATTTAACGTGCTGGATAAGCGAGTTGGCCAGGCAAGCGAGTTGGCCACCCCACCAAGTTTGCGCACGCGGTTTAACTCTATACACAACCACTCCACGCAGTATATTCTAAATGCCTTCAAATGAAACAGATATTCAGCTTGCTATCTCTTCTCTTAATGCTCATCAAATCCAGAGCAACCGACGTGCAGCAGCAACATTTAATGTGACACGATCAACGCTACAGAACAGGCGCAATGGGAAGCCTGCCCGACGCGATTGCCAGCCCAACTCAAAGAAGCTTACCAAGCTAGAAGAGGAGGTAATAGTTAATTATATACTTGATCTAGATCTACGCGGATTTTCGCCTACCTACGTAGCTGTGCGCGATATGGCCGATAGACTGTTAGCTGCGCGTGGTGCTGGCCAGGTTGGGCAGAAGTGGCCAGCCAACTTCGTTAAGCGTACAGACAGACTTGCGACGCGTTTTAATCGGGCGTACGAT